CTGAATGGAAGCTCCCGCCCAACCTGAAGGAGCTCCTCAAGAAAGGGTCAGAGCACTTGGTGTCCAGCAATCCAAAGGAGCTTGCCACAAAGCTACGCCCCTACATCAACACCAGGAAAGACCTCTGGCCACTGGTCAATCATGTCTACATACAGGGCCCATTTGCCACGCTCCACCAGTTGGGCATCTCTCTGCTGGACATCCCCAGCTTCAAGGACAGCTACAGCTCAATGAGCTGGCGCACCAAGGAGGCCCTCAACAAGTGCAACGCAGTGTTCTACATGCCCCCGCTGGCCAAGGCTGTCACCAAGGACATGGTCCTGCAGCTGGCCAGCCTGGCTCTGACCCCGCACATTGGCATTGTGGTGACACGCCTCACCAACTATCTGGAGGACAACAACAACAAGGGATCAAGACCATCAAGAACACCAGGTCACTCCTCCAAGACAAGCTCATCCACTTGGCCAATCGCCAGCACATCACCATGAGGGCTGACACCCCAGTCTACTGCATGGAGGCTAAAAGATCATCCACAGAGTACTCAGCAGCCCTGGCCTCCTTCATCAAGCAGGAGCTGAGACAGCTGAGTGACACTGACGTGAGGAGTCATGCCCAGCACCTCCAGAATGAGCTCAACTGCAGTGTCAGGCTTCTCCGGGAGGCCATGCTTGGCCACAATGAGAACAGGGCTGATGCCAAGAAGATCCTTGACATGGCCTGTGCTGTGCTGGCCGGAGAGCTCAAGAAGACTGAGGCCGACGACTCTCCGCAGGTGAGGCACAAGCTGTGCAACCTCCTCATCCAGCCCACCGTTGAGGCTGTCATTGAGAACTTTGCCTGGTGCGCGTACAACACGATCCAGCTGAGGCTGAGGAAAGGGAACTACAGCCTCACGCTCAACATGTCCAAGGTCAGGGCCCTTGCCTGGGCCAACCTAGATCCTGCCTGCGCCTCTCCCTCGCTGAAGCAAGTCCTCGGCAACTTTCGTGAGCACATCGAGGTCACAGACGAGGAGGTGGAGACTTGGCAGCGTCGGCTCGAGGACATGCGAGCCCGTGTGCTCCAGTCAGCCAAGGTCCGTGCACACCTCCTCTGATGTTCATCCCTTCTGTGCTCTCAGCCCAGCTCCATTTCTCACGTGAACGGTAATGGTGCAGTACGACCTTCTGTGGCGCCTGGCAGATGCCAAAGGTCGGGTTAAAGAAGTACTCAACCTCTGGAAGACTGTGAGTAGCCGGTCTGGAAGGGGTCTTAAGCAGTTCTACCTCAACACTCTCAAGGTCAAGCTGCCCGCAGTTCTCCTTGCCCAGCGCAAGTGTGCTGAGGAGCAGCTAGTCTTGTGGTACAACGACACCCTCGCGAATCTTGAACGTGGGACACTGTCCGTCTTTGCTCAGCTGCAAGCCGTTCTGGAGCCCCTGTGTAACGTCACCACCATCAGCCCCGAGAAGCGCGCCTTCTTCGAGGAGCTCCTGGCTCCGATTGAGGTCTTGAACCAGCGTCCAGATGTCAAGGACCCGAGTCCCACCGCCGAGCATGGTGTCCTCAATACCGGCGAGCCCAACTCGCTGACGGACATCCACACGCTACACCCGTGCCTCACCCCACTACCAACGGCCTGGGTCAAGCAGTACAACAACATCACGATCTCCCGCCCTGGATCCGTCTACGTGATGACCAACCCGAGCTTCCGCCACGACCTCTTCAAGATCGGTCTGACAACTCGTCCGCTGGAGAATCGCGCCAAGCAGCTCTACACCACCGGCGTCCCGCAGCCCTTCGACATCAAGCACCACTGGGCCACCGACAACTGCCGCATCTTCGAGAGCCTCATGCACAAGCTCTTCGCGGATGTGAGGGAGAACAAGAAGCGCGAGTTCTTCCAGGCCGACCTCGAGCTGATCATCGAGGTCGGCAACGCCCTCCACGGCATCCTCCAACCCAGGGCTTGACCTCTCCTACTTTCCGAGCAGGGCTGTGTTCCCTGTTGCCCAGTAAACTCCCTTTTTTTGCTAACTTTACAGCTTTGAATTCAAGTTGCAAGCAGATGCCAGGGCACATCAGCAGCGATCAAAGCGAATTAAGTGAGGAAAGCGATTGGTTGCCTCCCGAAGGTTGTGACGAACACGCGGAGGATGAGGAACTGCTGCCGGTGGAAGATGAAAGTGAAGATGCCGATGACGCGGAAGAACGTATGACGAAGAGGAAACGAAAAAACGCCACCCCATCAGCACCGATGAAGAAAAGGGCGCGGGTAGAAGAAAATGAAGATGAGAGCGAGGAAGATTGCGATGATGGAGCGTTCGTGTGCGTGTTTGAGGGGTGCGGCAAGAGCTTCAACCGCGAAGGCAAGCTGGCGGACCACCTACGCACCCACACCGGCGAGGTACTACACCCCCCCCCGCGATTTCCAATCTTGCTGCGAAATTGAATTTCCTCCTGATTCGTGAGCGATTTTTGTAGCGACCCTTTGTATGCGGTTTCAGCGGATGCGACAAGCGATTCACGCGCAGTCACCACCTGAAGCGCCACGAGCTGTCGCACACGGGCGCTAAGCCGCACACATGCGACCACCCCGGCTGCGATGCCGCATTCCTCACCGCCCAGCATCTGCGAC